TGTGTGTGTGTGTGTGTGTGTTTGTGTGTGTGTGTGTGTGTGTGTGTGTGTGTGTGTGTGTGTGTGTGTGTGTGTGTGTGTGTGTGTGTGTGTGTGTGTGTGTGTGTGTGTGTGTGGGTGTGCGCGTGTGTGCGCGTGTGGGCGTGTCTGCGTGTCTGCGTGTCTGCGTGTCTGCGTGTCTGCGTGTCTGCGTGTCTGCGTGTCTGCGTGTCTGCGTGTCTGCGTGTCTGCGTGTCTGCGTGTCTGCGTGTCTGCGTGTCTGCGTGTCTGCGTGTCTGCGTGTCTGCGTGTCTGCGTGTCTGCGTGTCTGTGTGTCTGTGTGTCTGTGTGTCTGTGTGTCTGTGTGTCTGTGTGTCTGTGTGTCTGTGTGTCTGTGTGTCTGTGTGTCTGTGTGTCTGTGTGTCTGTGTGTCTGTGTGTCTGTGTGTCTGTGTGTCTGTGTGTCTGTGTGTCTGTGTGTCTGTGTGTCTGTGTGTCTGTGTGTCTGTGTGTCTGTGTGTCTGTGTGTCTGTGTGTCTGTGTGTCTGTGTGTCTGTGTGTCTGTGTGTCTGTGTGTCTGTGTGTCTGTGTGTCTGTGTGTCTGTGTGTCTGTGTGTCTGTGTGTCTGTGTGTCTGTGTGTCTGTGTGTCTGTGTGCCTGTGTGCCTGTGTGTCTGTGTGTCTGTGTGTCTGTGTGTCTGTGTGTCTGTGTGTCTGTGTGTCTGTGTGTCTGTGTGTCTGTGTGTCTGTGTGTCTGTGTGTCTGTGTGTCTGTGTGTCTGTGTGTCTGTGTGTCTGTGTGTCTGTGTGTCTGTGTGTCTGTGTGTCTGTGTGTCTGTGTGTCTGTGTGTCTGTGTGTCTGTGTGTCTGTGTGTGTGTGTGTGTGTGTGTGTGTGTGTGTGTGTGTGTGTGTGTGTGTGTCTGTGTGTCTGTGTGTCTGTGTGTCTGTATCCACGATAACTCATGAACGGATACAAAGAAAAACCCCATATTAAACTTTGGGCAGAGTCGGAACATCTGGAGGGGGACTTTATAAAAGGTAATTTTTATATTTTATAAAATATATCTGTTATTTACGTTTGGAGAAAAAAATTATTAAAATAACAGTTACTTCTTATATTATTTTCTATAATTTTTTTTTTCATAGAAAATTTTTCTAAAATGGGCCGTATTCGAGAAATTTGACAAAATGTAAAAAAAATCAAATTTTTATGAAAATTGTTCAAATAAAAATTGTGTGATATAAAATATTTTTTTTATTTTTTGTCCAATACATCATTTTTTTAAAATGGACCGTATTCGAGATATTTGAGAAAAAGTGTAATTTTTTAATTTTAAAGAAAACTTAAAAACGGATAAAGAAAAACACATTAAATTTTAAACTTAAGCTTTATTCCGGCATGAGGTGAACTGATCAGATTTTGGGCAGAGTCAGAACATATAGGGGGGTAGGTACTTTATTAGGGGTCGTTTTTATATTTTATGGAATATATTACTTATTTTTGTTTGGAGAAGAAAATTCTTTGAATAAAAGTTACTTTTAATATTATTCTCTATAATTTTTGTTCTATACAAAAGTTTCCTAAAATGGTTCATATGAGAGAAATTTTTCAAAATGTAAAAATTTCTGATTTTAGGTTTGCGATATCGAGCCCTATAATTTTTGTGTTTTACGTGATTTTTCTATAATGAACCTTAATGAAAAAATTGGAGAAAAAGTATAAAATTTAAATTTTTCAGCATTTTCGGTGGCAATGACTATATAAAGAAAAACGTTTCGAGTTAGATGTATGTGGAAAATGTATATATTAAATTAACCTCTAAATATTTACAGAGGCGCTACAATGGGTTATACAAAATAACCGATAAAAGCATGTGACAACCAGATAGGAAAGTCATGTGTTGGACACTCCTGATTTTTGTACACATTTTATAGTATATATGACAAAAATACGACAATTAATAATAAATAAAACATAAATATAGCAATATAAAAATAGGAATTTGAAAATATGAGTCATACAAAATTTTAAATTAAGGAGGTTCTTTCGCCACCCCTCTCGCCACCAATGTTAAAAAAAAAAAGTTATTAGATTATGACTAAAATTAATTTTTTTCTAATAGTAGATGTCCTTATTTATCTAATACTGAACTTTTAATTATATCTTACCGTACAAATTTTTGAGAATTTTTTTTTTTTTAAACGTGAATATTTGTACAGTGTCTCACGAGAAAGTAAGACCTCAACAACAATTCTCGAATTATACTCTTGTTTATTGATTAGATAGAGTAGAAAAAAACTAAAAATAAGGTTTTTGAAATATTTAGGTTTTGTTTTTTACAATAAAATATATAGGTTACCGTGGAATTTATTGAGAAATTAATATTAAAAAAAAGTAACCTAGTTGAAAATTTTTTGTGATTTTTTAATATTAATTTCAAAAAAAATTCCACGGTAACCTATATATTTTATTGTAAAAAACCAAATCTAAATATTTCAAAAACCTTATTTTTTGTTTTTTTCTACTCCATCTAATCAATAAATAATAGTATACTTAATTATAATTCGAAAATTGTTATTGAGGTCTTACTTTCTCATAAGACACTGTACAAATACTCACATTTTTAAAAAAAAAATTCTCAAAAATTTGCACGGTAAGGTATAGTTAAAAATTCACTATTAGATAAATAATGACTTCAACTATTAGAAAAAAATTAATTTTAGTCATAATCTAATATTTTTTATTTAACATTGGTGGCGAAAGGACCTCCTTAAAAATAAAAAAATACAATATTATAAATATAAATGATATAAATGCAATCTTATGTTCAATGTACCTCGACAGACCTCATACAACAAAAATTATATCTATGCTTATGAAAACATTTATAATATATTTAAATTCTTTAATGTTTATAATATACGTTTTTCTTTTTATTTTTTTATTTTTTTTTTATTCGCATATATTGCGGATCAAAGTTCAAGGTATTTTTGTTATATTCTTTGAAAATGTTAAACGTATGTAGATTTTTTTTGAAAAGCTAATAACCCGTAGTTTTAGAAACTTTATTAAAAAACAGTACTTGAAATGTATAAACAAATTAATTACATTACTATATAAAAATGGAATAAATACAGGATAACCATTTTACATAAACAATTTTGTTAAAATAGATAAACTAGATAATTTAAATAACTGAATATTTGAACTTTTCAAGAGAAACAAAAATTCCATTAAAAAATTTAACGGGAATTTATTTTAATCTAGACGTTTAAGAGACTTTTTAACTGGTCTAGTCAAAAATTTTAAGCATTTTCTTTAGTGGTGTATTTGAGTTTTAAGTACTCAACCTTTACACCATTACATTGTAGCGAATTGAAAATAAGTAGTGCGTCGACTAAACACGAAGAACGGTTACCGAAAAAAAATGTTTTTTTTATTATTTCTTATAATTTCATTATTTACTTACCGTATATTAATGATTTATACAAAAATCTGGTTATATCATGTGGAATAGCCTGCAGTAACCGCATACTATTTGATGCCATAGTAAAAAAAGTTACGATAATTTAAACAAGAAAGACCTAAAATCAGTATTAAAATTAAAATTTTAAAAAAATAATTTTTTTTCAGTCTGAAGTTGTTGAACTCCTTGTATGGTCAAAAGTAATTTTAAAATATGGAGTTTATTGTTTTTACACTTATTTATTACCCTGTACCAATAAAAAATTCAAATATTTTAAATGTACAATCTAGAAATATTTATGTTAGGTACAATTTTTATAAAATGAGGGTTTTTGATGTTTATTAAATTTTGAAATACGTATTAAATTCAGTAAATCCTATTAGCAAAATTAAATAATTGCAGAGAGCATATCATAGTTGCACAATTTGTTAATTTATTTAAGTAAGTACCTATTCCCTATCTTAAATTAATATTTTTATACAACTTAGAAATAAACTGAAATTTAAGTAAAATGAATAAATAAAACCATAATTTGTGTTTTCTCTTTAATTGTGAAACCTTCGTTTCTCGATCATATCATACTCTGCTCGTCTGATCTTGTTTTTATTTTATTACCCTTTCTTTTTGAAACATTCCAAAATTAGCTATATTTTAATCACAACCCAATTCAATACATCATCAAAATACCGAAAACGGTTAGGAACTCAATTCCCATCCCAAATTCTAAAAGGCATGCATTCTCGTTTAATCCTTCGGATTCAGGTAGATACTGCCAGCTACCGACGAATCTGTAAACTTAGGTCTCACGTGTTAAAACATCTGCTCCTTTTACTTTCGTTCGATATTTCACTTTTTAAAATTAGTTTTGTTCAACAAAATGTTATTCTTATAATATAAGGTTTCAATAAAACCAATAAATGCTTATTATATTTTAGATATATTTTATTAAAAAAAAAATTAGTCTTTTAAATTTTTATATAAAAAAAAATTATAACTTATGATACATTGACCAATATCTCGATGGCTTAGGCGCAATACGTATCCCCTTAAACAATTTTACAGGAGGCACAAAATATTTCACTGTTACAATATTTAAAGACATATTTGATATTTTATTAGGTCAATTACAACTAAAATATTTATAATCAGACAAAGTATTTTAAGTGCATTTTTAAATTATTGGCCCTATTTGATTATTTTTGGCTGATACATCCTATTGCGTATTCTTGTTTGGTGCGTTACGTCCTATTTATATCGTATTTATAGGGTTATATCAAAAATATTTATTTTAAACAACATTTCTTTGAAAACACTGAAAGTAAGGTAAATGTGTTTCTTAAAACTAAAGAACATATATTTTCCTTACATCAAAACAAAAATAAATTTAATGGCGGGGATTACTTTATTCCCTTTTTTTGTTTAATTTTACAAGGCATCTCCTTAAGTACACTTTTTAAATTGTCTGGTCTCTTCCTGACTGACGTGTTTTTAAATTCTGGTTGCAGATGTTCGGTTTAAAAGTTCCTTCTTTGCACGTCTAGTTTCTTTATTGTTTACTATTTCTTGTTTCTCTTCCAAAACATCTGATTCTGTTTTTGCTTAGCTTTCTCATTTCCTTTATTTTTATATTTTGTAGTAGATTTTAGGTTTGTAGCTTTCTTCTTTGAACTAGTTTTTTTTAACTTAGCTATTTTTTGGTTGTGTACCGATTTATCTAATTCTGTTTTTTGCTTAGCCTTCTTATTTACTTGATTCTTATCTTCGGATTGATACAGTAAGCTTGAGTAAAAATCCTTCACTTTTGTAAGTTCTTGTAAATCCTTAAATTTTTTCTCTGTAATTTTAATTCGGTTGTCGTATAATTGGCAACGAAGCTGGTTACTTGAATTATTTGTATTTGAACGACAAGGTAATTCAACGTAATATTCATCATCGTAGCTCAATTTGTGGAATATTTTGCTATCCGGAAAATACTTAAAAGTTTTAATATCGGTTACTTTAGCGTCATTTACGTTCCGTCCAGGTCGTATGGATTGGTATGTATAAAGATCTTTATTATCATATTTCATAAAAACATCATGTGGAATATAATGGACAACCAGATGGAAAGGCTTAAGCCTTGCTTCTTTTATTGCTAAGGAGTAGTGACTAGGTATATGAATTTCTCTGTTCTTTACCTTCCGTTTGATAAGTGCATAAGTAGAGTCATACTCCATTTGAGTGTGATCATTTTTCAGGTATTTTTGAAATATCGTTATACCGGATTGCACTGAAAAGGACAAGAACGTATTTGACAATATCACATTCTTATTTTAATATTTACAATTATCAACGTAAATGTTTATTGATCTTGGCTCTTCCAGACAATACTTTTCCAGATAGTCCATTATACAACTTGTGAACACTAACGAAACTAGCTTTCCTTCTTTTTCATTTTAGCAGTAGTTGTCAGATTTATGTATCTTAACATTATATATCGTAAAGCTATGAAACTGAAGCTTGCTTTTAAAGTATAATTTACTAGCAAATAATTTGGGGCATAACTGAACTGCTTGTACATCCATCGTCAGGGTATAACATCTTTTCCTAATGTATCAGCCTTGTCCTTTTATTTCTCTGTTCTGGATTTATTATTATCAATCATATATTTCTTGAATGACTCTTCATCAACCTGACCGACTTTATATGAACAACAAACATCACATTAATCCTTTTTAGGTAGATGTATTGCTATGTTATTTTCTTCTAGTAGAGAACGAAAATATTGACAAAGCCAGTTTATTACTTTTAGTGCATTCCTCCTTATAAACATTAAAGTCTTCTGTTTTATTACGAAAAAGTTTTTCAAAGTAAAGCTTAGTTAAATATCTTCTGCAATAATGGGATGGTAGTTTTGGAAAACGGTTAATGACATCCCTTTCAAATTGAATTCTCTTAGCATCATCGACTTGTTTTTTGTTCTGTTTTTATTTTATATTTTGCCAAAGACATCCTATGCTGCACCAGTTCAGTAAACCAGTTTCTTATCATCCTTTCACCAATTCCAAGTGTAGACATAAACATCCGCTTGCAAACTAGCAATTTGTTGGCATCAAGCTGCAAACTATAAACAATAGTCCTGTTCGCCTTGATGCACTCTGGATATTGAATCTTTTTTTTTAATATACTGAGCCAAACATTTTCTTTTGTTCCCATGTCAAAGTCCAAAACCTGTTGAATATTTCCTGTCTGTCAATTTATGAAATATTTTTACATTTATTATGTTTACCGCTACACATACACATATCACCCAGCTTGTGGGCAGGTCTTTTAATATTGTCTTTTATATCTCCTGTCTTGCTACTAGTGTAGCCTATGTACTGCTCTCAATTCATTCTCAGTCTTTTATTTTTGTTTCTATCCCATTCATTTTGGTTTGCGGTCTTCCTTCTTTTACCATTGCCACCAATTTTTTCTTTAGCTTTATTACCAAGCACGGTTTCTTGGACATTGTCCACGTTAAATGGCTCTAAACTTTCCATTATTAATTTATGATTTGGAGGAATTTCTTTTGTGAGTTTGTTGACGAAATAAATAGGCTCTTCTGACTCTAAACGTTCTTCGTGATTTAGAAGATTTTCTTCTTACCAGGTCGTCACTTGGAGAAATTTCTTCTATATCAGTAAGTTTTACTGGTTGAATAAGTAAAGGGTTTTCATTAGAAAAAGCGCTATTATTAGAAACCAAATCTTGATTGTGACAAAATTCCTCGAAGCAATTAACTGATACTGGCTTCTCTAGTGTAAGGCTTTCATGTTGTAAAATTCCTTTACCAGAAATCACAAATTCGTATGAAGTGAACGGTTAAAGCTGTGACACAAAAACATCGACCGATCAGATGACCTGTTAGTATTAGTCACCAGAACAGTTTTTAAAATTCGCCCACTTCGAGTGGACATCCTGTAAAGAACAAAAAAATCTAGAAAACAGGTAAAAATTGAAAAAAAATATGTATTTAAACAAAAAAACTGGCAGTCCTAAACAAGTACACAGTTTTTTGCAAAAAACGTGTAATAATTTTTAAAATCATAAACTAGCACCCCCACACACATGCACACACAGCTTCAAGTTATTTGTAAATGAGGGATACGACGTATTACCTGGTAGTTTTTGTGGGTTACGACCTATTGCGCATAAGCCATCGATCTATTATGTCAATATTACAAAAAAATTTCTAGTATAATAATAAAAATGATAAAGTTCCATCTTTATTTTAAGAAATTTATTAGAAACGATACAAAATATATTTAATTTTATAATCCAATGAAATATTAATTATAAAACTTTCTTTTTTCCACACCCACATGGATATTGGCTATTCCACTCATAGACTATAGAAAGAAAAAGTATGCCATTGGTTTAACTGCACGAATATAGTTCACATCCATTCTACATAGTAAGAACACTGCAAAAAATTAAATATATCAATCACAGTTCATATTTTAGCCACCCGACTACTATTATATTTTTAAATCTTATATAAGTGACCATTCAGTCAAACTAATTGTCAGTATATTTTTCAGTTATTGATATTAAACATACATTAAAATGAGTTATTCTTATATAGAATCGATAAATAATGGCATTCCTATTGTTATTTTGTCTGTATTAACAAATAAATCATAAATTTTTATTAAACTATACAGGGTGTTAAAAAAAAGTGTCACAAAATGAAATGGTGAATAGTATGACCCAAAATAAGCAGAAAAGTCTTAATAAATATATGACCGCAAATTAACGGTTTCGGAGATACGGACCATTTTGTGTTTATAACAATTTTTTATTCTTATAAAAAAACAGTGACATTTATAAACAACCAATAACAACATAGAGTTAAATGAGATGTTCAAATACTGACGTAGTGCTTCCCTCGCATTGCCATTTGCACGACCGTACATAAAATGCATGTCAGCCAATTCAATATTAGTGTAAACAGGCATAACGAAAATTTATAAAATTATTCACCCACAACAAAATAATAACTGCAAATAGTATCTATGAAAAAACATCGGTAGACTCCGATAAGAAAAGCAAGTTTTTGAGAATGAAAAAAGATAATCAAAAAATGATACAAAACACAAAACACTCCGTATCTCTGAAACCATTCATTTGCGGACATATGTTTATTAAGACTTTTCTGCATATTTTGGCCCATATTACCCCCCGTTTTATTTTGTGACACTTTTTTTTTAACACCCTGTATAAACTCAATTTAATTACGAGTATTAAAACTAAAAGGTCCCGGGTTCAATTCTAGAATTGGGGACTAATTAAATAAATCTTTTTTTAAAGTTCATTTTCTTATATAAATTAGTAAACTTCATATTTTGTTTTAAATTAGTCATTTTATCTGAATAACCTAAAATAATTTTTAAAATTTTTGATTTTGGTTAGTGGGTCGTAGAAAAAATATAATGCACAACTCGAGTGGATTGTCCGTATATCCAATATTGTTACACAAACTACTATTGTGATAGTTAATATTTAAATTATGTTTCTTTTAATAAGTTAATGTTTTTAGAATTAATACACCATAAAAGTTTGTAGCACAGCCACATTAATAAACATATAGATACCTACACTTTTTCGTACTGACCTGTACCTAGCGATTCTTATCAGTTTAGATTATTTAATTTGAGTATTTATGATCACCAATAAGTGTTAAATTTCAGGTACTCATGTTGATATTCTAAGATTAATAACGTTCATTATTGTACTCAAAAAATCATAAAAGGACACATACAGATTTGCATTTCTTTAAATTTTTTATAATCAATTATTTAAATTTAATTTTTTAAATCAATTAATATGCATACTAACCTCATTAATTTTCAACTTTTCTTTAATCACAATTACCCTCTTAAATAATTAAATTAACAATTTTTAATTATCCATATTATAATAGGTTCTATCAAACGAATATTATTCTTATTTAACAACCTATCTGCTAACTTATTACTAACATCTACGCATTATCATATTGACATGTGTTTGGGGCAGGTGTTTCAGCAGGCACGCGCCTGATATTACGGAACACCTTGTCTATTTTAAAATTTATTAGTTCTTTTTTTTGAGGACTCAGCTGGACATTTCGAGTTTATCTTTTTTATAAATCACCATTTTAATGTATATATTTTAAATGAATTCTTATTTTATTTAATGTTTATATATTTTATAATTAATATTATGTTAGGTACTTACTTTATTATTTTACAATTATAGCTGAATCCATTTTTTCTGAGTGCTGTAATATACTTACCATTTTTAGATTTATAAATTTTGTAAATTATAGAAAAAAAAACAAGAAAATATAAGAAAAATATTATATTTATCAGTACATGGGTTTGCAATATGCATTATATCAAAAATAATTATTTACAAACGTATCTCGAAAAAGGCAGGTCAAAATACTTAAACAACTACCAACTTAACAACGTAAAAACTGATCTTATTGAGTACGATATTCTTTTATAAAATAGAGAGCAAATTTTTTGTTAAGTACCCATAACATACTAAATTTTTTTGAACTTTATTGCGACACTTTTCAACTAAAATAATGCTTATAAACTATAATATAAACAATATATACAACTTTTTAATATATACAAAAACAATGACTAGAAACAACATTTATAAACTCTTGAGATTCTTCAATTATATATTGTAGAAAAAATATCACTCGCTGGGAATGAAGGCACTAGGTTTCCTGGTTGGAGCAATTTTTTTTGATTAGACATTTCACTGGCCGTGCTTGTTCTGTAAAAAAAACAAAAACAAACATTAGTTTATTGTGAAAAAGTAACATAAAAGGTAACAAAAGTTTCGAATATTGAAAGGGAACCTGCGGACTCGCGATTATTTTTTCAATAAAATATCTCAGACAGTATTGTTCATAAGATTTTGTGTAAGGTCCTGTTTCTTAAAGAAACTGGTATGCATTAAGACCCCTGTCAACTGTATGAAAAGACTCAAGACACAAAAACGGTATTTTACCTTAGGGTAGGAAATGGGCATAGTAAATCGAAGGGGAACCTTAAGAGTTCACTTTTATAATTCAGGTAGATATATAGATTTAAAACAGGTATACACACTGCAGTGTAGAGTAAAATATCTGAGATCCAGATTAAATGGAAGCAATTTCATTAGAAATATTTATATGTTAATATTAAAAATAACTACAAGAAAAAAATATTTTCGGTTAAAATTAAAATTATCACGAAATATATAGTTTTTTTTAATTTGATTAAATTATAGATGAATTTGCCATTTTATTGAAAGAAAATAAATATATTTACATTTTTAGAAAGACGAATGATAAAATTTTTGGTGAATTTATCATTTTATTGAAACATATTTATTGAATTTATCATTTTATTGATAATTTTTTGTTGAATTTACCATTTTATTGCAAAAATAAATAAATATATCTACACTTTTAAACAGTACTATATATATTGATAAAAATTTTGGTGAATTTACCATTTTATTGAAAGAAAATAAATACATTCACATTTTTAAACATTACCAGAAAAATTGATAAAACTTTTGATGAATTTATCATTTTATTGAAAGAAAATAAATATATTCACATTTTTAAATAGTACTATAAAAACTGATCAAATTAGTTTTGATGAATTTACCATTTTATTGAAATAAAATAGTTATATTCACATTTTCACACACTACTATAAATATTGATAAAATTTTTGACGAATTTACCATTTTATTGAAAGATAATAAATATATTCAAATTTTTAAATAGTATGACAAATTTTTTTATGAATTTACCATTTTATTGAGAGAAAATAACCTTCAAATATAATAAAAATTAAAATGTAGATTAATATTTTTGCTTGTTCGATTTATAAAATCTTCAAAATGTATTTACACAGAATTTACTATATTTTAATCAAATTAATATCTACAAATAAAAAAAAATAGAAACTAACCTGAATTTTGGGATGATCATTCTTGTTGCCATGAAAAAATAGCGTCTAAGAGTTCTTCATCCTCAGGACTCTTCGGATCATAATTTTCATAGTTTTCAGCGGGATGGTACAATGTTGTGGAATAACTTTGCGTTGTGGAAAAAGATCCTTCAGAACTATGTGAAGGTGTCGGTGAGGTAGAAGCTTCTGAACAAGCAGGAGTTGGAAGCAAAACTGGATAAGATGTATAAAGGTGAGTGGAATCGGGACTGCTAGTGTAATATCTATTATCGTTAATTTGATCACTAGTTAGAGACGAGTTTCCCATATCGCTTTCATGATCATCAATCATTTGCTGCAAGCATCTGATATATTCTACAGCTAATCTTAAAGTTTCTACTTTGCTAAGTTTTTTAGAAGCGCCTCTACTTGCTTGCGACGACGTGGATCCCGTAGGAGATAGAGCTTGAGCAACACTGGGTGGAATGTGTGAACGTAAAGTAGCGAAACCATTGTTAACTTGTTTAACGCGATTTCTTTCTCTAGCGTTTCGTCTAGCTACAGAAGCTGGTTGTTGTGGTGGAGCACCGTAAGGCATAAACTGGATTTTCCTTTTGCATCTCAAATCGTTGTTAGTAACTAATACCGAAGAACGTTCTGGCGCTGGAGCCAAAGGCCGTTTGTTAGAAATCGTAGAAGTTTTCGGTTGAGTAACAATTACACAATTAGTTTGAGGTGTAGAATGCTGGATAACATTGTACATCTTGTTTTGGTGACCGAGAGTCATAGTAAGCGCCATAGGTAGTAACATAAATACACTAACTGAAAAGTCTCTTAAGTGTTAGTAAACAAACAGCGCGCGTGTTATTGTAGTAACTTCGAAATAAACGTGACGATAACTATAGTAGCGGCGAACAGAATGTTCTCGGTGGCTGTTAGCGTACGGTTTTCTATCCGCAGCCGGGCGCCCCCTCTTCGGCGAGCTGCGCGCGCCTTTTGGGGGTTGTACGCGTGCCACAGGACGTGAGACGCATGGCAAAGGTTGCGAGGACCTCGGATAACTCCGTCTAGATTCCCTCTCTTATTCTTATCTCGGAAGCCGCGTGGGACTTCAGAGTGTGGACCGGTGCGGCGATCGCGGCACTGGCACAAGCGGACTGCAATTTATCGGCAGCTGCGAATGTTGAAACACATGTAGGACTTAGCGCCTAGGCTTTAACGTTGTGCACTGCCTTTTTATGACACTTGTAAATTGGCAACAAGTTCATATGGGAAGGTGGTTGTTTATAAATTCATGTTTTTGATAAGAATTGTACTTTTTATAGTTTTCTGTTTATGCATAATATTTTTATTAATAAATATTTTTGGGAATTTCTTTTATGGTTATAAAATAGGAAATAACAAAATAAATAAATATTTGAAAGACCCATTCTAAATTGGCAGCAAGTTCATATGGAAGATGTTTTTTTTTTTTTTAATTTCATCAATTTGATAAAATTTATACTTTTTCTGTAGTTTCTCTTTTTTTCGACACTATAACCTTTTTAATAATAAATCTTTGGTACATTTTTATGGTTATAAAATATGATATTTATCTTACTACAAATTCATTCTTAAATATTTTTTTTTATCTTTTTGGAAATTTCTTTGCATTTAGATTTTTAATATTAAAGTTTCAAAAAGTTGCTTGTGATTTCACAGCTTTTGGTCCCAATTTAGATGGCTCTCTTCAGTGAGTTTTGTTAAATATTTTTCTTTATTTAATAATATTGAATATTTTCTTTATTATTAAATTTTCTTGTTTCTCTTTTTTCAATTTATTTTTTTAAGAAATTTTTTACCTATTAGGTAGTTATTAATTTACCAGAATTGATAATTATAAATTTAGGATAAGTCTTCTTTTTCGAATATATAAAAACATCTAAAATAAGAAAAAAATATTATTATTATTATTATTATTAGTATCCAATGCTTTTATTTAAAAGTATAAGTTTTTGAGACTTACCAATCGCATGTTAGGTGTTCTGTTCATTGTTGATGGCATACTTTTATTTATAATTAGGTTTCCTAATCGAAAGTAGTATTGACAATAAATATTGCCAGTTTCCTGGGATATATTTTTTTTTTTCATCATCAGATTGGATCTAAATAATAATATATTTTTGTTTAAAATGTTTTAAAATGTTCAATCTCTTGTGTACCTTGCAGTTTTATTTATTGATACCTTAACTGTTAGGGCTATTCGGCTTCGTGTGTTCTGTGTTGGTGTTGCTACTGTTTCCCAGCGCCACTTTGAAAACAGCAGTGTTAATTAGAATCCAACAGAGTATGGCGGGAGTGGGGATTCTTACATATGCATCGGAATAATTTTTTAATAAATAAATAACTTAAGAAAATCCCTTTTAAAGATGGGCTTCGAACCGAAGACCCTTAATTTTGCAAATCCAGACTCTAACGACCGAGCCAGTTTATTTTTAAATAATGATTAGGTGACGGTAGCATTTTGACGTTGTTGTTGTTATGTGTCATTCTTGTTTTTATGTATAAGGTCTTCATATCAGGAGGGATTTAATTATAATTTACATATCGTGGGCTTACAGTTTGTAAAATTTGAGTTAATATGAACAAATCACTAATAAAAGTGGTGTTTCACTAAAAAAAATTACCAAGACATAATTACCTCTCAATACTGTTAATATAAACCTACACATAATAATAATAATAATTTATGTTAGTGTTTTTAATTTAAAGCAAAAATGACATGGTCATATTAAATCAAATTTAACAAATGTTGAATTGGTCAGTTTTTATAATACACGATAAAGGTATTAGGTTAATGTAATTCAAATACGGAAAAATTATATTGTAGACTGTTATTTATTGTTTTTATGTTGTTGTATTCTAGAAATTTGAGGAAAAGTGCAAATTTCGAATTTTGATAAACGGATAAAGGGTAATGAAATACATGTCATGATTCAACCTTCTGTTTTCCCAAAGCAATTAGAGCCATTTTAGTACTTCCATGTCCTCATAGACACTCTGTTTTCTAATTATTGTTTTGATTGTTCAATATATACTTTAATTAAGTTGCTGTCTTTATATTTATTGAATAATTAATGTGAGTTTTTATCATGTGGAATTTTCTTAAAATTTTGTAAAATTGTAAGCTAAGGTTATATACTCTGTTTTCTAATTATTGTTTTGATTGTTCAATATATACTTTAATTAAGTTGCTGTCTTTATATTTATTGAATAATTAATGTGAGTTTTTATCATATGGAATTTTCTTAAAATTTTGTAAAATTGTAAGCTAAGGTTATATTGCTTTTATGTTGTATGTTTTTTGGTTTGATAATGAGTTATGTTGTAGCTTTTTAAATAGTCCTTAAATTTATGGTATAGAGATATATTTTTGGTTTGCTACATTTATTTATTATACTTATTGTTATTATAAAATTTGTTTATTCGTTTTTAAACAAATATTCTGCTAATAAGTTTATTTGGGAGTGCATTTTAAGCTATAGTTTATTGCATTTATCCTGTATTCAGAATTTGCTAGTTTTGTAGCTTTGTCCGTAAAACCAATTATAATTGATTTTTTATTGATCAATTCCGGATCAGTTCTTGTTCAGTTCTGGTTTAGTTCCGGATCAGTTCTGAAAATTTGGAATGTAAAAATTTTTAAAGAAATAATTTTGATTCAAAAATGTTGGATGAAGAAATGTTTTTTTGTAAAATGGTATATTGAATAATAGAAATTATAAAAATCTAATTTTGAAGAAATTCCCGAAAAGAATCTAACAAGATTAGGATCAGTAAATTATTTAAAAATGCCTACGTTTCTATGAATCAAACACGTATAAGCAATTAAAATCCGAGCATTTCTTTTATTGAACATTAATATTGTATTACTTGATAAAATTAAATAAAATGTATAAAAAGACAAAGTTCTGATATGCTTAGAAATATATTATTTCCCTCTTGTTCAAAAACATATTCCCTTAGGGGTAAGTCTACCGATTAGTTAAAGCTTTCACTTTCTATAGGATACTAGGTATCACAATAATTATTCTCTTCAGGTAGTTTTCTAAAACATTTGAAATTATATTTTTTAGATTTATATAAATATGTGATTTTGTCCTTTGCACATATAAATTGTTAACACGGGATTATTAGGTCAAAGTGATGCCGAAATTCCAGATAGGTTTTTAAACTTTTTCATTTAAAATTTTGAAAATATCTTTCAACATTTTTTATTCAGTGACATAGTCCTTAAATTAGGAATATATTTAGTAGACGCGTGTATTTTAGTGCAGAGAAAAGGCAAGAGAAAAATTATATGTTGATGTTGACTGTTATAAAATTTATTATGAAATTGAAAAACATTCTTAGAAAGGAGAGATGTGATATTTATTGGTGACTGTATAAAATGTATTTAATATTTTTTATGAGATCCTCTGATTTAGGTGAATTAATTTATATTCAAAAACTATATGATTCAAATCAGTTATTTTTTCGGAATTACAGGTGAGCCCACAATACCCATTTTACGAATATATGCTGCAAATAGAATAAATTATATTTATATATTCGATTTTATTAATTATTTAAATTTATTTCATTTAGCGTTTAATTCTTTTTAATTTATTTTAAAATCAAAATAATATTCCATTGTCAATAGTAATTATTGCAATATTACTTTTTGTTTTTAGTATAATAAAAATGAGTGGACATAATGACTGATGACACAAGTGGATTCGCTGACCATTATGGCCAGAGTGCTTAATCGCCTGACTGCGATACGGACAATTCACTCGAGTTTTATAGTATATTTTTTCTGCGACCCAATCAAAAATCAAAAAAAATTTAAAAATTAATGTGTATTTTAAAAGAATTAACACAATTATTAATTCATTTATCCTTGGTATTATTTAACTATTATATAAAATACAGAGAAGCAAATCGTATTATTTTTTTTAAACCTTAACACCCAGCCCTCACTAATAAACAGGTGAAAACTTCTGCTGAATTTCAGCTCTTAATTTTTATTTGACTAGTTGTAGAAATGTCTTAAATATTATTTAATTTTACGTCCGCAATATAACACATTTTCGGCCAATCTTGAAATTTGGTGAGACTCTCTTTGGCTGAATGTATACGACCAATCACTGTAAATTAAAACGTTCAATTTTTCTCATTTTAAGCTACTCTGGTTTTTCGAAAACAAGGTATTATGTTCCTTGTAAAACAAGTTTTTTAAAACAATATTATTTGTATGTTTAATTTAGTTGTTCATTCTTAAGTCTTTTTCATATTTAAACTTACTTTCGACGCTTTTAACACCATCGACATCTTGTGCTTTATATAGTAATTTTTACTGTTTTACAGTGCCTCTTTAGGAACATAACTGTTTACTAAAAGATCGAGTGGGAAATCGTATCTAGACACTAGAATTTTTTTATAATTAATTATATTAATTGAGGGCTCAAATTTCAGATAGATAAATCCCAGGCGAAGTACCAGCTATTATTAAGTATACATTTTTTAATATCTCTATCTAATTTGTGAAAAAAATTATTTTAAATACATCTTAACAATAATTTTTAGATTCTAGTAAACTCAGAACAATCAACGTCTAACTGAAAAATTTGATATCTACATAAATTTTGGGATGTTTTCTATAATTTTTATAACAAATGTGTTTAATCTACTTTTTGTAGCTAACATAATTGCATCTAAAATTAGAGAAAATGATGATATAAAATACTAGAGGCTTTAATAAAATGCAGATATTAATATAAAGGCAATTTTATTTAACTCTAGTATTTCTTCAATTGATATAATTAATTAACCATGCTAAGTTTTGCTCACAAGGCCATCCTCAGGCATTAGTGTTACTTCTTAATACTAA